TGCGATAGCACATCGCGTTATTTTTAGTGCATGCTCGCTGCCTATTTACATGTATTTATTTATTATGACCTAGCTAAAAATACCCCTTCAAGCTCCATGTCAGAAGGAGCTTTTTAAATTAGAAGCCGTTATAATTTTTTTAAAGGATCGCTCCCCATTTTTTAAACATCAGTGCCAAATTATATATAGGGACGCTCGATCATCGGTCCTTATATGGCCGCTGATGATCTGATGATAAATTTTTATCTATATATCGTTGGTAAATCATCATGGGAGAGTCGGTTACAGATGATAAAATGATTTTGTTACTCAATTTCAATCAGGGATAACAAAACAAATGAAGAGTATCTAAATTTTTCATAAAAACATTCAAGATTCAGTATGACTTTATGTCTACTCAGTTCAAGATGAAGATTAGTTATGTGTGGCAACGCTTGTATAAGGTTACTATGCCATGTCAATGGTGTGAGATTTATTGCTAATGTGAAAATCATAGGACGACGCCACTACAAATCGTCTTCCAAATTCACTAGAGAACGTTTGTTTTTTGTTTAAACGATGCGAATCGTTTGATTTAAATGAATCCACTTCTTATGCAAGGTGTTTATCTTACTTATCTATAATAACTAGCTTCTATAAATATCTTTGTAAGTTTACCATAATATTGAATGGAATGAAACTCACCATGCAAGGACCTTAATGCTATCAAGTGCAGCTTAAATAACTTAGTCCAGATTTGGTGCAGTAATCCTTTATTCAATCTGCATAAGATTTAACCATACAGAAATAGACATCAGATCAATCAAGACCTCGACTGCTTTCAGTGTTAAGCAGAAATGCTGAGTATAATTTAAATTTCGCATTAATTACATTTAAAAATACAATTTTGTTATTCACTTAGTGAAACGTTCCTTAACGTAATCATGACCGGTGGTTCAAATTAACTTCAGATGATGACCTTATTAATTATATGACTCAGTGTTAAGCAGAATTGCTGAGTATGATCTAAATTTCGCATTAATTACATTTATAAATGAAATTTTGTTATTCACTTGGTGAAAAGTTCCTTAACGTAATCATGATCGGTGCTTCAAATTAACTTCAGATGACCATATTAATTTTATGAAAATTTACAGAGCAACTTCCTATATAAGGTACAGTATACTTGGAGCGGCGACTGTTCCGTGCTGCTGGTAATTCAACTCAATTAAATGTATCGACTATACACCAGCGCCTCGATTTCAAAATGGTGGACCCGGATCCATGTTACTTATGCCCGCCACGTTTAGTTAACAACGGGCTGACAAATGTGTGCTACAGTGAACTTTATTTCACTAGCAAATATTCATCACATGAAAAATGGATAAATATCTTTTATCAAAATTTGAAATGAGTTCACAATTGCGAGCTTCTCCTTTAATTGAAGGTTTCACATGCGCGTTGCTAAAATGGATTCAAAATGGGGAAGTTTTCGAAAAATTCTCGGCTATATATTGAAATTTTTCTGAATAGTTTAAGTTCATCGGCGAATTAGGGACTACAATTGAAAGCATGAATCTCGAAAAAAGCAGAAATAGTGAGTTAATAAATTTAAATGAATAAAGTTAAACTCTCATGCCTTCAATTAGTGTACCGTCTATAATTGCTGCAATAATATTTCGAACCGACGCTACTTTGGGGTGGCATTGTGGCAACCAATCAGTAATCGATGAACCAAGACACTATATTTAATTAAAGAGCTTGCAGGCAGGTAAATAATTTCTTAAATAAAAATAAACCAATAATAAAACAGTTTAATAATTTATTTACTAGTGGTTTACTCATGCCTTTCTCGATGCATTCAAAGTCGGTTTTTATTAAACCAATTTTTGTAAAAAGGGTCAGACATGCATTCCAAACACACGTCAAACTCAATAAATTCGTTAAACTCAAACTCGATGACCATCAACTCGATTTAAAAATCATGGGCGTCTAATTTATAAAGGCCTATTAATCTACGGTTAGTCAATAATGGCATGACCATGAATAAATTGTGTTCAATAACATAATTCGCTCTAATTAGCGTTTTCGCCTCCCGACTCCATCACTATTAATTTTTTATGTCGCTCAAATGCCTTTTACTATATGCCGATTTTTTTTAATTTTACTATCATTTATATTATATATCATTCATATATATTATATATCATTTATATCATTTTATTTTACAATCATTTATGTAAATTCAGTATATATACTAATAGTAATAATTATAAAGAATGCATTGCTAGAATATGTCAGTAGCATGCATTTTGAAAGCGGAATATATAAAGGAATTGTCACTGCCTATAGATCTGCTAGACAATGCACCAACAGCTGTAGGGCCTTTGCCTCACACCTGTCACGGCTGAATGTGTTGTAGTAATAATGATTATTACCGAAAATTGAATGGTTATTACCCCGTAAAGCAGAAATTGAATGATACAGCTACAATAAAAAATAAAATAAAAGCTGTGCTACAATAAAAAACTCAGCTCAGACTTGAAATAGGAAGCAAAATTGGAGAGTGTTCAAATTTTGCTTAAGATTTCCTGGCTAGTATAATCCGAATAAAATTTTAATCGTCGATCCATGGATAGCTGTAAGATGTGTTTGACATCTTCGACACATTGTAGTCTAATTTTTAAGTTAATAGCGAAATACAGCATCTGCGCAGAAGATTAGATTTTAAGTTGCGTTTGTTACAGCACTGCTTTGTGCATTATTCTGTACGCAGGTTGGATAACCTCTGAATTTCACGCGGCTCAGAATACTGATCCCTGTAATATGAAAAAAATATGACTAGTGTGTGCTCCGTATTATGCAGAACATAAAACGACAAACGTTCTTCTTAAATTATCCCAATTATTAGCCTAACCCCACTGGTGAATACAAATATCTATATTAACGAAAGCAATATTGAGAATGATGTATGTATTTCGCCAGTAAATCCCTGCGGAAATAATCGCCGCAATGTACGGTCATGACAATATTTATCAACGATCTGACAAATAAATATTATTGCTGTATAATTTCAGAGAAGAATAAATTATTCTAAAAAAATTACTTTATAAAAAAAATAACTTTAATAACTTTAAGTGTTTTAGCGGACTTGTCCAACATTTTTTAACATTCTCTCTCAGAAAAAATGCTTCTCATCGATATTCAGATTTGTTCGAAAAGTAAAGGCGGTTTTCGGAAAAATTGTTTGTCAAAATAAATTTGGGGAAAAAAATGGCGGAAAACCATTTATGTCAAAACCACCAAAACCAAATTCGTGTGTGAGGCACGAATAATATAAAAAATATGTTAGCAGTAAAGATAACAACTACTATTTAAAAACATTCACAATAACATGAGCATTGTGCTCTGCAATGCAAGACATTACCAGCCGGAGGAATAATAATCTCTAATTAATACACCAACATCTTCGACGTTTAATACCAAGTACAACCATGAACACTTGTACCTCAGAGCTACAACGATATCTATAATAGTGAACACAGCCATGCCGGCAATGTTTAATGCATGTAAGCAAGACTAAAGCACGCCCCTGAGAGGTGGAATGAGTTGAATCGAGCCCCTGTAAATGTAGCCTTTTGGTCGCACCTCGATATAGCTGTCACTTATGAGGTTATCTTAACGAGCCTCACTTCATCAGAATTATCCATGAGCAATGGTCTGCTTGCTGATCTCAAAGTCTTAAGTGGCTCACCATTCTTTTATGAATCTATAATTGACGCCTCAACGACCACAGAATTTTTTATTGACTTGGCCACTAAGTACGCAAACATTATGGTTCTTTTTAAAAAACTGAACAGTTCGAGATGCTTATTATATAATTATACTGGCAGTTACGTTGTCTTTTTATTTATTTCTTCAACGAGAAATCTGTGTTATTCGTTAATCGAGGAATTTAAGTCATCATACTGTTACGGGAGAGCTTTCAATATGAACAAATGCTCAGCGATAACCGATGCAAGTTTATACTTCGCTGCTTTAGGAATCAAATCTGTTTAACTAAAGGAAGGTTTCTTGCCATTAGGGATTCTATTGATATCTCAGGGTGAAATTCGGGAAAAGAAATATCGCGGAAGTCCAACAATTAATGCATGCAGAGAAAACGGAAATGCATGTTCCTCCTAGGTGATATAAAATGACAAACACTAAACAACTTCATACATATTGAAGATACACACAATTTTGAATAAATAGGATAATACAAGATCACAAATATTATACATCTTATCCGGATTAAAAAACATTCAGGCATTATGTGAAAAAACAATCAGGCACAATGCACTGATATAGCCAATTCTACAAAAAATTTAACCCTGAATATTTGATGATCTTTCCCGTCACATCGACAAGAACCAATTAGGACCATGCATTAACACCGACAGTCAAGTTGACAGCAAGACATTTTAAGACACCCTTCGTATAAGAAGGGTGTCTTGTAAGGGTGAAGGTTGTAAGACACCCTGGAAAAAAGACGAGCGAGCTGCGCTGCTACAATACAATCTCAAGACCCAATAAATAACTTTTCAAATCCCAAGTGTCCTTGAAAACCCGTGGCTTACTTCAAAATACTCTCTAAAGAGTAATGAGTTCCCAATGGATTAATTTGTGGCCGCTTTATCTAGAAGTACGAAATTCTCTGTAAACTTTCGTGTGCTAGTTTAAAAATTTTCCGGTGCTCACAGAGTGATATTTCATCGAAGTGTATTAAAGGTATACAACTTAATGAACCAATTACGATTAGCTAATAATTTTTTTATTATCATGAACCTCTTCTCTACGTAACCTTACCTGGTTTGACTATCAAATAAACAAATATAAGGTTGAAAAATACACCTGTTCAAACGAAAATTGATGTCGAATCTACTACTTTTCCTAAAATATTTCAGTCGCTGCTTGAGGCACTCACCTGGGATGGCCTGCAGCCCCATATCGTAGTGCCTCCAGCCCATTTGGGCACTCACCTGGGATGCCCTGTAGCCCCATATCGTAGTGCCTCCAGCCCATTTGGGCGGCGTAGGCGGCCTGGTATGCGTTAATGGGCGGCTGCACCTGGTGCCCCGCGGCCGAGGGGGAGACGCCCTGCAGGTATGGGGTGTCCCGGGCCCCGTTGAAGCCCAGGTGGGAGGAGTAGGTATTGTCGGGCGTGGGAGGCATGGAAGAGGGAGTGGAGGAATGGGGAAGGGATGTGTGTGGGGAAGGAGCCTGCCATACAGCAGGAGATGGAGAGGAAGGTTGTACGGCGAGCTGTGCAGAGTATGAGTTGTATGGAAGCATGTGTGTGTGTGGAGGATACATGGCGGGGGCGAGTAGGTTGGCTTGGCCGGGGTCCTGAGCGTACGAGCTCGAGCTCGACGGGAACATTGAGCCCATAACTTCCATGGCGGCGACTGATGTTTTAATAAATGAGATTATTTACTCTGTGTTTACGTAATTTCTGTGATGATGTGATGATTTAATAGTTGTTCGTTTAATGCACGAGTTGTTTTATTGAATTTATTAGTTTAATACATGTGATGCTTGCTTCCTGTGATGAACGAATTCCGGAAATGATTTAAAACTTATATTGATTTAATACTTGTGATGATTTAATGCTTAGGATGACAGAATACCTGTGATTTGAACCTAGGCTATTATTAGCCGATATATTGAATTCTTGGCCTGAATAATTTATACCATAATATAGGCATTGGTCCAAGTGGAATGATAAGCTCATGTACTGTTGATGATAACTATAACTATGATGCTCAGTAGTTGAAATTGCCCGGTTCTGTAGCCCTAGTTAAGCTTTACAAATGGTTATTCGGGTAACTTGTAATTAGTTGACGTGACAAGGAGAAAGCTATTGGTTTAGGTGTGTGTGTTATCATGGGTAGTTTCCCTTTTACTACCTTCATTTGCATGACATTTTATCTTACATTCGCTCAGAGTGAAGTTGATGTAAATTGTAACGTGTCGTTTTTATTGGCTTTTAAGATTCCGAATCGAAATTTATTTTGCGATTTCTAGGCAAAATTCTCCACAAATTTTCATCATCTAATTTACGAGGCGTAGATAAGGAAGATAAATACTTCCGTGTGTCTAATTTCACCTAAATGTTCTATTTCTCAATTCATTTTTAATCAGCTTTTTCATGAGGGTATATGCTACATCAAACCAATTTATGAAAATAATAATTATAAAATAATATCAACGTATTTATTTTCCTTTTTCTGTTTTTTTACAACCTATATTTTTGCTAACTAAGAATCCAACCTTCAGGCTTTATTGAAAATGGAACATTTTTGTGAAAATATCATATGAATAAAATACCAACAGGTAAAGTGTAAGTATAATTAGATAAATTTGTGAAATTCGTGTTCAATTTTTTATGGAGCTTTAAAATATGTAGGGAGGGTAGCTTGCATGAGCCCTGAAAAAAGAGAGGGAGAAATTAGAATTAGAGAATTGCCATCATCGTTAGCATTTCCTTTTTCAAATACAATAATAATCAACCAAAAAGTTGTCATTAACAATTAATAATACAAATTAAAGTAGCATAACCACAAATGCATTATATAGCAAATATACTTCCACTGTATGGTCATATAGATGAAATTATCAATTATCATTGTAAAAGTTTAACAATAAATGAAAAACAATGAACAGTTCAGCGTTCACAAAAATCATTGAAGAAATAATATTTTCGCCCGTAAGAAAATGCACAATATTTCAAACATTTGCTTTAGTAATGTGAATAAACATGCATTATTATTTAATGACGATTACAAGCACTACCTGGAGGAAAATGTTTAATGTGCGAGGACAATAAAACCAGTTAACGAATTTGGCGACGAGCACAATATCATTGATAACAAAATTATATTGTGACGGCACAATATCATTGATAACAAAATACTGTGCCGGGCACAATATCATTGATAACAAAATACTGTGACGGGCACAATATCATTGACAACAAAATACTGTGACGGGCACAATATCATTGACAACAAAATACTGTGCCGGGCACAATATCATTGACAACAAAATACTGTGCNAAGTATTAAATTCGCTGTTGATCTGCAATACGAGATTAAAGAGCAAACAGAAAGAGGATCAAGTATTAAATTCGCTGTTGATCTGCAATACGAGATTAAAGAGCAAACAGAAAGAGGATCAAGTATTAAATTCGCTGTTGATCTGCAATACGAGATTAAAGAGCAAACAGAAAGAGGATCAAGTATTAAATTCGCTGTTGATCTGCAATACGAGATTAAAGAGCAAACAGAAAGAGGATCAAGTATTAAATTCGCTGTTGATCTGCAATACGAGATTAAAGAGCAAACAGAAAGAGGATCAAGTATTAAATTCGCTGTTGATCTGCAATACGAGATTAAAGAGCAAACAGAAAGAGGATCAAGTATTAAATTCGCTGTTGATCTGCAATACGAGATTAAAGAGCAAACAGAAAGAGGATCAAGTATTAAATTCGCTGTTGATCTGCAATACGAGATTAAAGAGCAAACAGAAAGAGGATCAAGTATTAAATTCGCTGTTGATCTGCAATACGAGATTAAAGAGCAAACAGAAAGAGGATCAAGTATTAAATTCGCTGTTGATCTGCAATACGAGATTAAAGAGCAAACAGAAAGAGGATCAAGTATTAAATTCGCTGTTGATCTGCAATACGAGATTAAAGAGCAAACAGAAAGAGGATCAAGTATTAAATTCGCTGTTGATCTGCAATACGAGATTAAAGAGCAAACAGAAAGAGGATCAAGTATTAAATTCGCTGTTGATCTGCAATACGAGATTAAAGAGCAAACAGAAAGAGGATCAAGTATTAAATTCGCTGTTGATCTGCAATACGAGATTAAAGAGCAAACAGAAAGAGGATCAAGTATTAAATTCGCTGTTGATCTGCAATACGAGATTAAAGAGCAAACAGAAAGAGTATCACGTATTAAATTCGCTGTTGATCTGCAATACGAGATTAAAGAGCAAACAGAAAGAGGATCAAGTATTAAATTCGCTGTTTATCTGCAATACGAGATCCCGAGCAAACAGAAAAAAGATCAAGTATTAAATTCGCTGTTGATCATCAATACGAGATCCTGAGCAACAGAAGTATCACTGTCTCTTATACACATCTAGATGTGTATAAGAGACAGAAGAAGGGGTGAGTGGGAGAGAGCTAGGGGGGAAAGAGGGGTTAGTGGGAGAGAGGGCGAGGGAAAAGAGGGGTGAATGGGCGAGGGCGAGGGGGAAAAGTGTGAGTGGGAGAGAGGGCGAGGGGAAAAAGGGGTGAGTGGGAGAGAGGGCGAGGGGAAAAAGGGGTGAGTGGGAGAGAGGGCGAGGGGAAAAAGGGGTGAGTGGGAGAGAGGGCGAGAGAATAGAGGACGAGTGAGGAAGGGAATAGGGGAAAGAAGGAAGAAATAAAAGGTTGGTAGAGAGATAGAAAAGAAACGCAGGTAAAAATTTTATTTCAAACGAGCGGATCATTGTGAATAGTGAATAATGTGTATAGGGAACGATAATCAGCAGCCTGAATGTAAGAGACGAAAGTTAATTAGAGAAGAGATAAAAGATCCCAAAAATTATTTTGGAAGTAAATCAACTGATAATTTTCCAAAATTGTGATCAATATTCACATCGCGTTTAATCTGGAATTGCACCAGAGCGAAGATAATTTTATCTTGGACAAAAAAGAAACATAATTTTTTTTTATTTTGTTAATGAAAAGCGCATCCTAAAAATTTAGTAAAAATGCGTACTTGATTGCGGGACAAAATTTTATAAACGTTATGAATTTTTTTTAATTTTTATTTTTTTTTATTTTTTTTTAATTTTAAAGTAGATTTCAAATATGCATGTTTCAATGAATTTTTTAAACAAACAAACACCCTTGTCGTCTCGCTTAATGCATTCGTTAACGATTGATAATTCGTTTTGAGCAAAACCATGAGAAAAATCGAATAAGAAAACAACACTAAAATAATCAGGAGCCTAACAATAAATAAAGAAACTGAGTCGTAATCAAACCAACGACATACGAAAATTGGTTGAAAAAGCTAAACTCAACAAAAAAATTATAATGAATTATTAGGCGTTACAATATTCGAGCTAAAATTATTAATAATAAATTTTTAGACACAACAATATTTATTATGAAATTTATAACATTATGAGTCAAAATTATTCATAATAAATAAATAAATTTTAATATATTATATATAATATATACAGATACATTATAATATATTATATTATACGGATATATATACGGATAATATATTTAATACATTTATTTATTTAGTTATTTTTATAAGAGTTATATCTTTTACGTGGGTTTGACGCAGGCTCGCCGGACAAGAGAACAGCATTAAAGGAAGCCTGCGTACAGAGCCTGTCTCTTATACACATCTAGATGTGTATAAGAGACAGACAAAATACTGTGCCGGGCACAATATCATTGA